AAAAAAATTATAAAAAAAAAAAAATGTAGTTATTATTTGCATCATTTATTATTTATTTTATCCACCCGTGACCCACCCGCAAATAATCAGAATGCATTTTTTATTACCCGACCCGCGGATTATCCACAGCGCCCGTGGATATAGGAAAAGCAAAATATGTTTGCTGTGTAAATCAGACGGACTTACTGAAAATTCTAATTCATTCTCTGCAAGCAGGAGGTGTGGGAGAAACAGAGGTTTCCCCAATAATGGCTGTACACAAAGCAGCGCTGAGCTCACAAAAGCTGCTTTATCAGGCATATAACATGCAAGATGAAATGAAAATGACATCGAAAATTTTCTAAAGTTAGTCTTCCTTCAGAAATACAGTGATATAAAAACACCCGCGCCTCGTTTTGATTTTTAAACGTGCAGTACGTGCTCATGTTTATTCAACAAAGCATCCTTCTGTAAGCATATGTGGTAGCTGTCGGTGGACAGAACTGCTCTATGCTACACATTTACACATGAGAGCAACAAAGAAACATGAAGTAATGCAAAACTGATGAGAAAGAAAAGAACTTAAAGGACACTGGTAATGCCTGCACCATGTTGACCCTAGTTCAGGCCTCAACACTGCGAGAGATTTTTGGGCTAGTTGGGCTGCATTGCCATGGAAAATCATACATTTATTTATTTGTTTTTATGACTTTCAAACTTAGGTATATAGTTATTCTTAGATTTATTCTACAAGGTTGTTGCAAATTTTGCTGATTTGTCACCAAGAATGTTGTCAAGCTGGGTGACATAGAGGTTTTATTGATAATTTAAAAATGGCTTGTTGAAAGCATCAAATCAGTATTATTTTGCATTGTATGCCATTGTTTTCAAAGAGTGTTTAGGAATTTATTCTAGCTCATGGCAATTTTTTTATTTGTAATGAAGTTATTTTTTGTAAATGTTCTTTTTGGGAAGGATTATTTATTTATTTATTTTTTTTTTTTTATTTTTTTTTTTGAAGAAAACAATCATTTTTAATAATGTTCATTTTCCTATTTTAATTCTCTTTGCATAAAATGTTCAGTAATACCTTTTAAAAGTATTTTATTCAGTGGATTATCCACAAGTAGTCTAGATGTTTAATATATTAAACCATTTTTTATTGAATTACCAGTAAAAAAAGCACTGGAAATCTGTAAACAAAAGTCTTTTTTATCATTATTTTATTTTTACCTGGGGGTCTTTCTGGCATTTCCAGAAATCCCTCATCTGTCAGCTCGCTATACCTTCACCTTGGTTACATATCTACTGGTGACATATCAGAATTCACAAAACAACAATTTTCAATGCATCACTTGAATCCAAATGTTTAAGTTTACAAGGCATAAAAAAAAACAAAATCAACAAATGTAAGAACAGTTCTGTCAACTGGCCCAAAACATTCTCACACTGGCCCCGGGCCTATGGGCCACCTTTACTGTTGATTCCTGATATATGTGAGCCCATATGTGGACCTTTGACATTTCCACTGTCGACAGCCTCTTGCAGTGATCCGTATCGACTTTAGACGCTGCCTGATATGGCCTCAAGTGATTGCTGACCTCTTTCAATGTTCTTGATATCTCTCTGCCATCTGACCCCTCTTTGCATGCAGATTCATGTCGAAACACATTTCAGTGCCTAATCTAATAGAGGTTAAACGCATGCCCAGCACACAAACACTCACTGCACCGCCAGTGATGGAACGGTGAATTTGAGGGAATTAATTAAACTACCCATCCATGTGGACCCATGACCTTTTACAGCCGTAAATATGGTTCAATTCCAACACGACGCTGCCGTCGGATTATTGGAAAGGTCCCCGATATGATGCGCCAGGACACAGTTTAACAAGGACGTTCATCAGGCTGCTCAGAACACTCTTAATTGGACTGTGATATCATTGTCTGCTTTAATGGAAATGTGCATGAAAGGGTTTGCTGCAGTGCTGCTGAACCTCAGAAGTCATGTGGCTTCA